GTGTGTGTGTGTGTGTGTGTGTGTGTGTGTGTGTGTGTGTGTGTGTGTGTGTGTCGGTGGGAGGGGCTTTTATTTTACTACTAAATAAAAAGTAACGGTGCCCGGCCGGCTGCCAGTCTGCGGTGTCGCGGGTGACCTGTGGTTTAGGATGAGCCGCCGCGTGTGAGTGTAAGGACGTGACGGCTCCGCGTGTTTACCACACGGGTCTGCGGGAGCCGCAGCGTGTACCTGCAGGCTGTGTGAGAGCGTGTGTGAGCGGCTCGGAGGCAGATCTTCCACAGAACACGCCCTAGTAGAAAAGGTAGACACACACACTCACGGCGAGAGAGAAACGCACACAAACACACTGAGCCTGATCACCGAGGAGCCGAGCTGCCTTACCTGTACACAACAGCCCCAATGCTCCCCTGCAGGCTGCCACCTCCAGCGCACTGTCACCAGATGAGAGCAGGGCGCGTTTACTTCCACACACTCTGGACTTATCGTATATTTACGCGCGGGGCTCTGAACACCTGGAGAGCCTGCGGGACTCGGCAGGAGGAGTAAAGCTGGGTGTTGTTGCAACAGCGGAGCGTTCATCCACCGGCAGGGCTGAGTACCATGAACAGGAATACGCGGCGCTGGATTTTCCATTTTTTCCTGTGCCTCGGGATAGTGTATCTGAAAATCGGGTGAGTGCTCAGGTGTATTTGTTCTGTTGTTCGTGTCTCAGATCAAAAGGGAGATTCTCCAGACACACGCACACACACACACACGCACACCGGGGTCTGCTAGGTGCTGGGGTCTTTTATGGTTTCAGTTTGTACATGTGTTGTTACAGAAACCCACGCACCTGCCCCCCCTGCATCCACTCACACGTGGTGTTCTCAGAAAGAAGGGAAACGCCACATTTCTAACCTGTCACCTTCATCGCAGGGGGCTGTCGTCGGTGGTGGCGCTGGGAGCGAGCATCATCTGTAACAAGATCCCCGGCTTGGCCCCGCGTCAGAGGACTATCTGTCAGAGTCGACCCGACGCGATCATAGTGATCGGGGAAGGAGTTCAGATGGGAATCAATGAGTGTCAGTTTCAGTTCAGGCACGGCCGCTGGAACTGCTCAGCCCTGGGGGAGAGGACCGTGTTCGGGAAAGAACTCAGAGTGGGTATGTAGTTGTACACGCTGTACCTCAGTGACGCGCTCAGTTTAGGAGTAGAGGCTGATTCAGGGGGGCGGTTGGCTTTTATCTTTCAGTGGCATATAAATAGAATAATACTAAATATAATTATAATGCCATCATAACACTACTGAATGTTGTATCTATATCTGAATAATACTCATATTCTAATTTCCTAAAGCACTTCTGTAAAAATAATTGATCTTTGCCTGCTTTAAAGGGTTCCATCTCTCTTGTCACCTGGTTCAGGTGGACTTTTAGTAGAAATAGTTTGTCAACAAAAACAAAATCATCACATTAATGCTAAGATTTTCTGCAGATATTGAAATAAATGTTTGTGTCTCTGAGCTCCACTTTTGTCTTCTCTTTCCCCTCTGTCGATCAAGACAGGTGGCTGCCTCTCGCCCAGAAGTGTCTTTCTGTCAAAAGGGAGTTCTTCCTCCCTACTGTCACCAAGTGCTTCTCACAGGGCGATCAAGTTGGGGTTTTCTCTCTTTCTATTCATCGCCCCCCCCTCCCCAAATGCTGGTGGCAGATGACTCCCCCTCTGTGAGTCTGGTTCTATTGTGAGCCTGGTTCTACTGTGAGCCTGGTTCTACTGGAGTTCTTTCTCACAGGGAATTGCTTGAATGTTGAGGTTTTCTCTCTATTATTGTAGAGACTTACCTGAACATTTAAAGTGCCTGGAGGCTGTTGCTGTTGTGATCTTGCACCAGAGATTTTAGCATGATAATTAAACAACAAGTTTACATGTCTGTAAGCTTTGTTCTTTTGTGGTCGGCTTTAGCGCCAGAGGTAGAGCAGGTCATCTGCTGTTTGGAAGGTTGGTGGTTCGATCCCTGGCTCCTCCTGTCTGTGTGTTAAAGTATCCACAAGTTGCTCCTGATGTCTCCATCTGAGTGCGAATGTCATTTATAGAGTGCTCAAGTAGAAAGGCACAATATAAGAACCAGTCCATTTACATAGTGAGAACCCTTTAAAACAGATATGTGAATATATGTCAACTAATAAAATAATTATTACACAATATTTTCTTTAGCTTGTGTGTTATCTTTAGTACATTTCCAGTATCATTCTAGCAGATACAGGGGAAGTAAGCTGGACACTGATTGTTCAAAATTGCTTTTAATTCTCCAAAAACATTTGGAGGAGACATTCCTCCGAGGTACTCGAACTCTGACACTTGGACAGATGTCTGTAAGTTTGAAGCCCAGGCGCACTGCGTCTGCTCTCAGTGGGAAAATAAGCCCCTGATTTGATCCTGTGTGTGGAACAAAGCTGGAGGCGATGCTCGCTCCAGAGACAGCACTGTGGATAAATGAGTTTTTAACAGGCCGGTATTCTGCTGTCCTGTCCTTTAAGTTCAGCCTGTCATCTCAGACGGAGAGCTGAGGGTGTCGTTTTTCATGTTGTGTGTATTATAGCTCACGCTGAGCTTTGATTGCTGCGTTGTGCATGACATACTGGTTTGAATGAGTGCACCAACCCATTTTCTTTGACCACTTATTTAATGTGATGCATTTGACGGCTGCAAGATACACATACCTACATGCTCTCTTCTTCTTTTTTTATCCACTGTCAGTGCGACTGCCTTCATGTATGTTCATAAAATACACCCCTCTCCCCCACCCACACCTCCCAAAGCTTCAAGTTCAGACAAGTGCTTACTTCTAGGTTTACAAATTTACCTCCCGGTTCTGCAGCTTTGGCAAAAGACGCTGTATGTAGAATGATTTTTAGTTCAGTGCTTCAGGGCAGAGCAGCACTCTTTATCATCAGATTAAAGTCAGCGAGTAAAGATGAGTGCAGATCTTTTCAGAAAAGCACAACTGCAAAAGGCTGCTTGGGTCCGGCTGCCCAACACCTTGTCTATGTGAATCTATTGTTTTGTTTCAGTGAGCTGGAATGCTGATAACTGACAGAATACACCAATTTGGGATCATTGTTGGCAGCAATGCAGGAGGGTACAGTAGTTTGGCATTAGATTCAAGCATCCTCCCCACCCACCAAGTTGGCTGCTTGATGTAGAGAGTGAGTACGGGCTTCTCCTTTCTTGGCTGCACGGGCAAGCGATTGGACAGAAGAAAATATCTCTAGATCACAAATGTAAAGCCAGGATGTTGCTTTCTGTGATGTCCCATCTACTTTGAGATGGTCCTAGACTGATAGTGAGAATCAGGACTCATTGTGCATGTGCTTCAGCAAGGTTCAACAGCTGCACAGAAGTGTGTGTGTGTGTGTGTGTGTGTGTGTGTGTGTGTGTGTGTGTGTGTGTGTGTGTG